GTGATGGCGGGTGATAAGGAAGAGATAACAACTCCGATTGCACAGGAAGTGCCAACACGTCACCCAGGTCTCGACCGTCCGGATAACCTTTCCCGGTTGATTTCCGGTTGACATGTTCTGGCTGGAACTGATGGCCAAAAGATGGCTCGTTGTTGCTGGTTTTCCCGCCGGTGTCGACAAAATGAGATAGCGAGCCAAACAAAGGTTGTTGGATCAATCGTGTACCAAGTCTTATCAAAGTAAAAGTGTGGGAGGGCCAGGTGTCTCACCTGCATCAGTCACGTGTCTCGGGAGGACATGCACGCGACCGTACGCGACAACAACATCAAGCGTAAAGTGTAGCATTGGTGGTCGTACAACAGCATATTATACTTTCAACGGCTCCTTTTATGCATCCTCTGTTCCGCCAGTTCCTGCATGCGTTTCCTCTTCAACGATGCAGGTGTTTCAGAGTAACGGACTACACTGCGGGGTGGTGGTGTTGTTGGGGGGTTGCCAGAGTCCGCGTCTCTTGCATCTGGTTCCGGTTCTGGGGTGCTGTCATGAGGAGCAGCAGATGGTGCCGGTGAACTGCTCCCAATGTAAATCAGCACGTTGCACAGATGATTCAAGACGGTCAGACCTACCCAGCCTCAGCTTCACCATCGTCAATAAATGGCTCTTCTTCTGCCTCCTCTTCGCTGGTATCCATCTCATTCCTCTTATCAATCTTCGCCCAGCTGATAGCGACCTCCTGCAACGCGTCCCATTGTTGCGTAGCGGTCCTAGTAACGGAATCAATTTCATCCCTTGTACATTCTCGACGACAATTCGGACAAGGAGTAAGCTCTTGGCCGGGAGCAAGGGAGGGTAGACAGTCGTCGCAGATCAAGTGTTGACAAGGGAAGCTGTTGCCAAAATCGTCAACGTCGGCGAATGGGGTATGCGGGCGAGCGTACCTTGAGCACTTTTCGAGGGCCATGGGTTCGAGGCATACGGGACAGTCTTGACCTGAGTCCTCAAGTACGTTCTCCATCATGAGATCTTGGAAACGCCTGAGAAGCTGAGGAAGCGTGAATGAGGATCAAGTAAATAGTATCGAAACAATGTACCTTTCGCATCTGATACGGAGTGTCTTCGACATTGTCCCCGCCCTCGTCCATGAGGTCCGCCGCTTCTCTCTTCGCTTCCCTCCGTTCCAACTGTTATTTCAGAGTAAGGATTCGCCACCAATCATAGGGACAATTCCATGTGGAGCACACGCTCACCTTCCGGATGGCTTTCTTCGCCTTCGCTCTGACCTACACACGTCACAATCAACACTAAGTCTCACCCAAGCGCCGTCTTAGCCACTCACCTTCTCCAAACTCTCAACTTCACCCTTCAGCCTCTTCACTTCTCCTTGCAAACTCGCAACGCTCGGACCACCCTTCTTTCCTCTCTTTGGTTGGATAGAGACATCCTCCGCTTCATTCAACCTCTCCAACTCCCCTTTCAATCTCTTATTCTCCTTCTTCAACTGCGTGATTTCTTTACGCAACCCTTTGATTCCGATTTGTACGTTCGCGATATCTCCCTGTGGTTATGGGATGCGTAGCTTTGGAGTCAGGTTCTTATCAATGAATGGAACTGAGAAGGATTGAGACGGATACGCGCCTCAAGGTTGTCGAGGGGAACATCATCATCATCATGAGAGTCTTCGTGAGACGAGGAGTCAAGCTGTGAGAGCGGGGAGAGTGGAGGATCTGCGTCGTTCGTGGCCTTGGAGGAAGACGCGATACCTGCCCCAGATCTGGTCGTTGGCATGGTCCTGTGACGGTATTGCTGCAAGGTCAAGCAGTTTCAATGGTTGTGGTGCCAGGCGAGATTGGTGGTCGAACCAATCCTTCGGTCTAGCAGTCGTCGCCACCAAGATGAGATCCAGACGTGTGACCTGGGTGTGACAATGAAACCTATCCCCACTCAGAGCTCAACTTTGCAACGCTCGGGCCCACCATCCTCCAACTGGCTTTCACGCAAAACTACACAGAAGTCGACTTCCGACAATCAATTTCGCCGCCTCTTTCTGTAGTGTTGCTCCCATTGACTGGTTTCCACCCCCCATGTACTCTATCACTATGACGCAGCGACACTACCGTCTGCTACTGTACGGTCCATGGCTGCGAAATCTCCTTGGTCGATCAATTCAGCTACTGAGCTCCGTGTCCGAGGATCTCTGACCTGCCCATTGAAGTCCTGCTGGAATTCCGTCTGGCTGATTTTCGAGCTCTCATGATATATCCAATGACATGGGTTACCGTGTCGCCGAATTTCCCGCAATATGGCCAGCAAAATCTGGATAAAGAGGTTATTGAGCGTTTTCGTATGTTCTGGAACTTATTCCGGTCCCTGTCGATTAGTGGTTAAATCATCACGTTGTGGTGTCGTCTATGACAGACTTCCAACTTGCAATCCGTGAAGCCGGAGGTTCGAATCCTCCTTGGGACATGCCTCTCACCTCAGGTGGTTCAATTCCACCATTCGGACATTCGTTTTGTGCTCAACACAGCTTACAGCGCCTTTCTTCGCTTTGTGGAAAACTTGAAATTTCGTTTTCCTTTCAGCCACAAGCAGGACCGTGAGACGAGTCCTAGGACGTCTCCCAACAAAGTCCCCGAGACCAGTCCTTGACACATGTCGCCAATTTGGGCAACTGTGGCGTATCAACGCTAAATGGTACCCATTGTGAACTACGCGCTTGGCGACAAAACCATATAATTTTGGAGCGCACAGTTGGTCCCCGAGAGACACTTCTACTGTCTGCAGTTGTGTAAACGACTCCAAAATGATCCGGAGAGAAATTACAGTCCATTCTCGCTCTAAGAGGGTTCGGACAAACCCGACACGACACGCGACGTCCATCAAAGACTTGAGACCCAGAGCTGCGGAAAAACGTCGGTCGCGGACTCAGATTCGCAAAACGGGAAAACAAGAAAACGCATACTGCGCTATGACGACTTTTTACCTCAACTATCTCACTCCAATGCCCCCATTCGACATCAACTCTCAGCTAATCTCTTCGATGGGTGCTTCTTCTTCTGTTCACAAGGCTAACCTGCGTAGGTCCACAGAACCGAGCTTGAACAGCACCGGGTTTCCCGTCGGACCTATCCGACTTGAGCTCTGCACGCAGCGTGGCGAAGTATCGACTATGGTGTCGGAGCAGAGTCATTTTAGTTTACGATGCCACGATAGCCGCCAGTGGGGGAAAGGATGAAGAATATAGCGATGGAGAGTTGGTCACACCGAGGTTCGTTATCTCGATATTCGAAAAATACAAACCAGTTATGGTTCTAGGATAACTTCCTGGGCGCGACGCCATCCAAGTCGGGATTCCACACTGGAAGGGAACATTTTCACAGTTCCACCGTGTTCAAACCAGGAGGAGCGCGTAACCGCACACCAAGTTCACTTCTTCGGATGGTTCTTCAAGCATCTCCAGATCACACCGGGCATGGGACATGCAGTCAACTCTACCTTCTCTCCTTCGCGCTCACACAAGTCCTGACAGCATTCATATAAATTCCTTGGACAGGCATAGCAGCCTGTTACCTCCATTCGACTTGAACTTTTATAACTGTAAGGGACACTGTTCCAAGTCTACTACTTACTGTGTACCCCGTGCATTATTGACAGGAGAAGCCGGCGAGTTCTGTGTGTTCAGGTCCTCATTTTGCCCTCATTTTAATTGATTCATCACCTTGTCATGACTAAAATTTGGGTGCTCAAACTTATTTATGTATGTTCGGACCAAAATTTGCGCTCGGCCCATTGCGAAGTGAGTAGGGATCAAGAAAAGAGACTTCATCCGTCAAGTGCAGTATTCATACAAGCTGAAGCAAGCAGTCTCTTATACGCGCAGCAGGGAACCTCTTGGCTTCCTCAACGATTCGGCGATGGCCAGGAATGTCTCAGCAAGTCGCACCTGCAAACTTTGGTCAAGGGCGTTAGGAACTATGGTAAAAATGCGTACCGAATCTAACGCTTCTGTATAAGAAGACGGGACAAGGGGATGCAGTGGATCCTGTGGTGCGCCATTCTGAACTTGTCGAGCGATGTTGGCCATCATCCGCATAACTCCATTATAAGGTCCGAATGATACGGTATGAAATGAAAGCGCTTTCCTATTGGATACGCAGCCTTTCTAAGCGGACGAGGACAAGCAGAGCAAATGGCTTACCCCAAAACAACCGCGCGACGGCACAAATCTTGCATGGCCGCTTCCTCAATCCTGCATTCACCATCAGACAGAAAGATCATCACAGGTGACCTGCATAATTCAATTTTCAGATATCGTAGTGAGGGCCAATGCAACAAACCTTTCACTGCTCCAATTTCTCTCCATACAATGCCGAGCATAGTCGATAGCTGCACCAAAATTTGTTCCTCGTCCAGTTCGGAATTGCAGGACACTTTCGAGAAGTTGCTCGGGGGAGCTCGTAAAGTCGTTCTCGGTGCAGGTGATGGGGGCTCTATCAAACATGATCACCGAGTACGCATCTCTTCGAGCCAGAGGATTTCCGGCACCATACGCAGCCTGGCGGGCGATCCAGAACCTGTAAAGGGATGAAAAAACACTCCCCAACCTGTTGTTGAAGTGACGTCGGCTGATCAACTCGCTGCCCGGTGTATTTGGCAGAGGGAGGCGATCCCGATTGCTCATTGAGCTCGAAATATCGACCACAAACAACCTAGAATAGGTTCATCCAACGTTGCGAGAGGGAAGAATACCAACCTACACATGGAAAGCCTGTTGCAAGGTGATAGGGTTCTTGCAAAGGAAGACATGCCCGTCATGCGAGACGTATCCTCCTCCAGGGGCAGAGTCGGGTGGCTGTGGGTTGTGGAACACTGGGAGGCTGCAGAACGAAGGCTGGGCCTGGGTGGTCGGAGCAGGGACATGCTCAGGTCCTGCGAATAAATGAGTGAGGACGAAGCATCCGAAGTTCATTCAGATAGGTACCGCTGCACATCGCGTCGCTGAGATGAGGGCGCTGTCAGCTCTATCGAGTATGGAGGTATGGAAACAGATTACCACTGGGCAAAAGTATTCTGATCTTCTTGCGAGTAAGGGTCTATCCGGTATCACATTATGAATGAGGATCAGGAACAAATAGAGATCATTATCTCTTACCTTTGAAACCTGTAGAGAATCCATCTCAAATAAAACCACAATGAGTAGGGGCATGGCAGCGACGAACCGGTACGCATCCAAAATAATTTATGGCTGACCCAATCTTTTGCCCGGGTTGGATTGGGCATCATGGCAGTTCGTATGTGTAGTGTTTCAGCTTCTCTGCAGTTATCGGCTGCATCTGCGCGGCAGTAGTCGAGGTGTACATGTCTCCCCATTGAACGACACACGAGAGAGCAAAGCATGGGTGCGCCTTCATCCGTGGAGCCAAACTTACGTCCATCAAGCTCATAAACGGTGCCATCTGGCCCGTCCACGGTCCATTGTGTCTTGGACATCGATCCATGGCTTGTCTCGTGCAGGGGTTGAGTGTGACCTGGATAAATTGATAAATACTTGAACAGCACCCCGAGTAACTACTCACGTAGGGGGAGGGTACAAAAGTAGCCGCAGTTCTCACACCTTCGTCTTTATCAGGGACATCACATGTTGAAGAAAGTGAACGAAACTCACCGATTTTCACAGTAGTGAAATGGGTCTTTGCTGATGGTGTGACAGTGCGTTCCCTCATGCGTTAGCTGGCCAGGCCGGATCGGTATGACGCAAGGCAACCTTTTGGAAACTAAATCACGATACTTTCAGCAATAGGCTGAGGATTCATGGTCGGGAAGCCAACCTTGAGAATACTATAAGAGTGTCAGGGAGTGTGTGCCACACAGTTATCGACAAATAACCTCACCTTCGTGTATTGGAAGGTTTCGTGGTGTCCAGTAAATGTGGCCTCAATTGATTGTGGAGCCGTTTCAATTTGACATATACCCGGGGATGCGCAAACGGCTCGGCAAGAATGCTCTTGACTAATGTTGTGGTCAAGAAACAGTAGCGGCCAGGCCAGATTGAGAATACACCCACCCACACAGATGTGTAACGCCTTGGCGGAGACCATGCAAGTGATCTTGACTGTCGCAGAGCCTTTTGCACAACTGGCATGAGATTGGGCACGACGGGTTCTCGCAGACATGGCGATCGTGAGGAATATGACTAGGAGATTCAGATTTCAGAGCGACTGGCTGCCACATCCACTCACCTTGGGACACGACATGTCCCACGGCAAGTGTGCTGTTGACCATCAGGGAGCAGCACGTCGACAAGAGCACACGGCTAGAGCGAATTTGGTTATTGTGCTGGTCATCAGAGCCACATTTCCACGAATCGGATCCTACCTCTCCGCAATCGTGGGTTGACGCTGAACATTCGTGCAAACCATCTTCATGATTTGCGACCTTGAGGATTCCGCTCAGTAAGAAAAATCAGATGCATATCTAATTGCCTCTTACCTTTGTGCAGCGCTCCATGCATCCACGCTTATTACTCAGATGACAACTCTGGCCACAGAGATGAAGGGCGATGTCACATCTATGAAAAATGTCAGATTCTACGTGTTTGGGCAGTGAGGGCAAATCGCTTGACAAGTGATCTCCGGCATGTCCGGCCCTGAGACAAATCCATCAATAAATAGTCGGACTTGGAAGTAGAGAACTTACTTCAACCCGCATTTCTCGACAACAATGTGTTCATCAACGAAGTCACAAAGAGACGGGCAATGATGAGAAGTACAACAGTCGTGGGAGCCGTTGTGACGACGATTCAAGATACAATACAAATTGCAATGTGAACACTGCATCGCACAGAGCTGAACGCTTCCCTTCAAGTCGACGGCCATCGATTCGAATTCTCGTCGCAGATTTGCTATGTCGGAATTGTTTGATGGAAAACGATCTGTGTTTCGCGTTATCCAATCGCGAACGTACTCCAACCTAAGGTGAGTGACGTAGTCAAAGTGAGTTGTCAAGCCATGGACCCATTCCAAATCTTGATAAGAATGTCGTTGGCCGTAAAATTCCCAAGTTGGGCGTAAACTGGCAAGAGCGACATCTTGATCCCATGCAGGACCCATACTGGCATTGGCCACAAACAGTACCAGCTTGGTATCAGAGGTGGGTATCAAAGCATCGCTATCGTAGTCCTGTTGAACCACCATCAGAATGAAGTTTTCACTGAGATGGACTATTGAAAAGACAACTTTGAGGGGCTCCCGGACAGGCTGTATTTCAGTGGCTCCATAGGCCAGGGCCCTGGGGAGCAAGAGACGAAGTTGTTGAGCCCGATGAGCAGCGAGGTTTTCTATGAGTTTCGGAATCAACACAAAGCTTAGCAAGAACATGAAAATCACCCACGGGATAGTGCACCCCAATCGTTGGCCTTTTATTTTAATGAGGTTCCCAAACTTTGATTTCGCAACGTTACAAGGTGC